GAAATCTTGGTAGGGACAACATGCAAGGCTACATAGATGGTGCCGACAGTTGAACAAAAATAGATCATTTATGACGGCAATATACTTGATGGTCCCTTCCACAGACAAGATTTCTGGCCTCCCATCTTTTATCTATAATGAATGTTGTCCAGTCTCTGAATGTCCATGTTGGATGAAGTAAAAACAATCCATAAAGCTGTCATATTTTCCATGAGCTTTGAAACTGAGGCTATAGATATGTTATCGATTCTGTCTGTGGGTTCTCCAACTCAATGAGAATTATTACTGTATTGACTGTACATATAAATTCAATTCTAAAGCAGAAACATAATGATAAATAGCTTGCTATTTTCTTTACTGAATCAGCAATCACAGTTTGTTTACATGTACAATAACAATATGGAGTTTGAGTTACAAGAACACATTTCTCCAGCTGACTGCTTTGGTAAATCACCGTTATTAAAGGGACTCAATTACAAATGTCGAGTATGGAAAAATTATTCCCCTAACACAAAACCGGTAAACATGGTAAAGGGAACAATGTTTCTGAAACATGTTTACTAGACTAACATCTAGTCTCTGAAATGAACATATTGTACAGAAAAAACAGTTGTTCAGTTATCTTAATAAAAATATAATAAAAAGGGAGCCCAGTGATACTGCAGTAATCTAGACTTGCCAAACATTATAGACTTGCATGGGCTGTAGTTGATATATTTGTATCAGGGTCTGTAAGACAGACTACATGTTTACCTGATATACATATATTTAGAATCAGTTGTTGTGCCGTGTAAAAAGTTTATCATAGTACCAGAGGTACAGAAGCCCACCCACCCTTATTCAATGAGATAGAACTTCAGCCATGAGGGTGTGTTAAACCAGCCTGTTTGTCTTAACACCATACTATAATACAAGTTTTTATGATATTTTCAAATTCTCTTTGTTGTTTAATGTCGCACTCAGCAATATTCCAGCTATTCAGAACCTGTAAATAATCAACTGTGGACCCAACAATCCAGTGATTTATACTATGAGTATGATTAATGATCCACGCTGTCAGTGTGGTGAAACACAATCAACCACTTCACTGAGTCTGACCACTCAATTCATTGGGACGTCCCTCACAACCAGGATAGGGTGATGGAGACTTAGTCTTCCTTGGACTCCACTACAGGGTCACCAGAGATATAGAGATTACTAAACGAGTGTCTGTCAGATACCATTGATCTTACAATGAGTTGTTTCAAAACGTATCTAACGAGAGAAAGCGATTCTTACACACCCTAAAATCGCACCTTTTTAGCATTGAAAAAGATACATTTTGTCTATTCTCATGATCACAGTGGTGCATTAAAACATAACAACACAGAAATAAGAGACTTCATCCGATGTACTGCTTACTACTCATAAATAATGTGACCCTACACAAAAAGGTTTCTGCTAAATCTGTGGATTATCATGGCGATGACGATAATGCAATTTAGATAAGATCAAAGAACACACTTGATGCCGAGTTAAATTATTTTCACCTCAAGAAATAACCAAATATGTACAACAATGATTACTTCCGCATGACATCACTACCCACAGACTTTTACAAAATGGCCTGTTCGCTGACAACAGTACGTGGGAGGAGGAGGATTTTCGTTGATTGAGGGATCGTACATAAATGTGTCATGTAAGTAATCTGCCTACTGTTAATTGTTTTATGTTTTCTAATGCAACCAAGAGAATTAGTCAGAAATGCAAATAACTGTTGTCATCGTTTTGCGTGATTAAGCGTCAGTCATGGCGTCACACATGACGGAAACTTTGACGATTTCTATGGAATTTACCTGATCGTTGTAATGTATATATTTGTAATTCCATAAAACATGCTACGATACTCTTCCCATGAATAGTCTCAAACAAGTGAGCCAGTGTATGCAACAATTAGACGAATGAATCTCTCAAAATAGGAGAAAATGCTACACAGTGTAAAATCTGAATTTCGCTTTGTTTATATCTGAACATGTAGTCCTACAGTTTTCCGAGCACAGTGTTCGTTTCCACACCTAATTTATTTCACTTAATTTCATCAAGATAATTTGCATTGGTGACAAAGTCCATATGTCATTTGATTCTTAACTGTATGAGAAATTCAGGCATGCATGTGTCGCAGCTCAGTTTGAAATTAATGGCGGAACTTCAGCATTCGTATTTGCATATTTTTCAAAACATTCTAAACGATTCTAGGCTTATCAGCGACATTATCATTAGTGATTAGTGAAAAATGGTTACCTGTGATCACAAATATGCTATTTTTTAAATTCAATTCTTCGAGCAAATATCCAATATTTAGATTTCTAAACACACAGGCATGGTGCTGACAAATCTAGAAACATAATCGGGGCAAACCGGGATTCGAACCCACAATCATAGGTTTCTGACGTGCCCAAGGGACGCAAATCTGCACAGCACTCTGCAGTACCTCAGACGAAGAGGAGCGACATAATTATATGTCGCTGTGGCATCCAGTGTGTTTACACCCTAAAAATAATATAACGTTCAACAGAGACGTAGGTAAACATTCGACTGAAGCACAAGCAATTTATGAATGACTTACAATTTTGAATGTAGTCAGTAGGGCTGCAACGAATACACTATGCGGCGAATACGATTCGTATCACGAATATGGGTAATAAATACGAATATTAAGTCACGAATACAATAACAAGTCAGCAGTTTATGTATTATTTGTCATATTCAGTGAAACAATAACAACATAAATTATTTGACATCGTTTGTTAATTATTAATATATTATACATTTATATACTGCTCTTATCCAGGTACTAGTATCTGCTCAAATGCGACAATGACCAGTGACCGCAATACTGTTAAATTAAATATCATAAGAGTGTTGTTTTGGAAGACATCTATGCATATAAAATGTTCTTAAGGATATTTTTAGGTACAGGGTATGTAAATGCACTTGATTGCATATTCATAAATATTCGATTCTTGTGGCCACGAGTAATGAATTCAATTCAAGAATGGCTACAGTTCTATTCACCGAATACGCGAGTGAATCGTATCAGTCCTAGTAGTCAGGCATAATCTGACTTCAGGTCATCACCATGGAGTAGCCAATCACAGGCCTGGAATTTAACCTCACACATGTTTGATACAAGTCATCTCAAATGGGTTTCTCACCAACAGGTGTGTCAGAAATGTAGAGCATGTTATACAAATGGGATATTGAAATCTTTAGTCTTGGAGAGAAAAAAAAGATTTTAAGTTCTGTGAAAATCAAACAACAAGTTATAGACATCAAATGATTGTTTGTTTGTTTGTTGTTTAACGCCGCACTCAGCAATATTCCAGCTATATGACGGCGGTCTGTAACTAATCAAGTCTGGACCAGACAATTAAGTGATTGACGTCATGAGCATCGATCCTCGCAGTTGGGATACGATGACATGCATCTTCCAAGTCAGCGAGCCTGACCACCGGATCCCGTTAGTCGCCTCTTACAACAAGCATGGGTTGCTGAAGACCTATTCTTACCCAGATCTTCACTGGTCAGACATCAAATGAAATCAAATAGCCTTAGTTAACAGAATACACAACTTGTGGATCTGTCATCAACGTGGACTAGAATTATGTTCAAAAGAGATGTATACTAGTAAGGTGATCTCAGAATGCTGTCACATACATTAGGGGTAAATTACACAAATCAGATTAACATAGTCCACATGATGCAATGTCTCATAGTTATTTAAGCTTCTTTGTGATGGTAGAAAATAAAAAGGGTTTTTTTAGTACAGGTTTGATGCTCACAACTGACTGTTACATGAATCCTGATGAATGTTTTTCAGTCCTGAAGTCAGTATCACTCAGTGTGAATAAATCATAAGGTGTCCACCAAAGTTGCACAATTCAGATACATTCTGTACAGGTTTGACATATACATAGACTGGACTATTATGGGACATTTTCTTCACTTTCTACATCAGCCCTACTCAAACCAACAAGGTGTTTAATACAAAAGGACAACACAGAATCCATGCTTATCAGATTTCTACATGTGGAAAGTTGTGCTGCAGTCAGGACAAAATGTTGAAACTGCATGCACTCAAAAACGATGGATTTATCCAACAAAGTTTCATATTTTCTGAGCATAATCAGCAAAAACTGTAATCACAAAGCACATCTGTGTATTCTCAGTCTGTCAGTTCAGGCAGAGAAGACTACTTCCCAGATCTCATCTGACATACAAAATTTAGCTAACAAGGGCTGGAACAAGATAGGAAACAATAACCAACTCTTTCTGCCTTACATCTACCCCTCAGCTTACAAATCCTCCTTTCTCTTCCATAATCACTTTCCTATTCAGCACAGCCATGGAGATTGATTTTACAGTCTCCCAAAACCTGGGGTGACTCAATGCCAACTGTTGCCATTGACAACGCACTGTCCTGGGATGTTCCATCCATTGGTCCACACTAACATGATCTAAACCAGTGTTTTCAAAATATATATAATGTGTGCTCGTAATGAAACCATTACCAACAAATCTAACTGTGGATACTTTCAGACTTTATCGAGATTTCTCCAGAATTTGGCACCAACCTTGCTATGATTTCTAGCCAAATGCATGGGTAAAGGAGCAAGCAGAAGAACAAACTGAACTTAGGTCACATCATCCCAGCTGGAATCAGGTAATGGTATGGATACAATACAAATATGCATATGTACAGATTCCCACATATCAAGTGGTTCACAGCACAATCTCAACCTATAAAGACATTGGTCTACCATTGAAGCTGCAAGTGTTGTAATACCTAAAACTGAATTTCGCAGATATGCAACTCGAGCTGAACTCATTAAACCACCAGTGAGAAACATTTTCTCATTCCGCCCGTTATGTGTATAACTGTACACAGTAGGCAAATTCTGGCAACATTAACTATTGCTCACAGTAATCAGCAATCTTCAAAAAGTTAAAACTGAACTCACCTAAACACTGTGTCTTGACATTGTTGCCTTGGTAGCCTTTATCACACTCGCATTTGCCCTTCGGGTCCTTGAACCAAGCCCCAGTATTCTGGCAGATGTGGGAGGGTTTAATCACTTCCACTGCATTCTCAACACACTGACCTAACTGATCTACCATTGGAGTTTCCTCATCACCTGTTGCGGTCTCATTGAAGAAGGCATAGTTGACTGTGGTGTTGGGACATGTTACGTAGTACACTCTGAGTGAGATGAGTGTTACACATGCACCTTTATCTTGGAAAGCAATGTATACTCCATTGAGCCCCCTGGAGAGAGAAATCCTTCTCGTCTCCTTGTTCACCTTGATAACATCAGTTGACATCTCAAAGAGATAATCTGCAGCTACTTTGTCCACCAACCGGTAGGCTGTTGGGTCCCAGGTAGGGCGCTGTTGGTTGGCAAAGTCAGATTCTGCATCATAATAATACAAATTGAAAGTTTCTTTACATTGCTGTAGACTGCTTGGGTCACTTATTCGTGAACACTTTCGCATAGTAAATCGTACTTCAACATGTAAACTGTTTGCTCCCCTTCGAGGAATAAAGGGAGTCCGTAGCCAGTTGTTGATATTTGGCACTCGTACATAGCATGATGTATAAACTCGGAGTGGGCTCCCTTCATCGTTATAGGTGCCTTCAAGCCACTGAAATGAAACAATGATTCCAGATTAAGATTCTTACCTACAGTGCATCTCAAGAAATATACATTGTACCAAGAAATATAGGCTTAATTCTACTGAGGCATATAAAACTAGATCTACAGCATGTAGTGAGCAATTAGTCATGATCCTACGTCTTCATTTCACAGGGCTGTAAAAACAAAAATTAGCTACAAGAATAACTAATGGTTGCAGTTACACACTTACAATGGAGTGGCATGACAAATACAAGTGGCAGTGACACACATACGATAGAGTGAGTGAGTGAGTGAGTGAGTATGGTCTTACGCCGCTTTTAGGAATATTCCAGCAATGTCACCAGAATTGGGCTTCATACAGTGTACCCATGTCGGGAATCGAATCCAGGTCTTTGGCGTGATGAGCAAATTTTTTAACCACAAGGTTACCTGACTGCCCCCGCATACCATAGAGTGACAATAACACACATATAAGTGGCAGTGACACACATACAAGTGGCAGTGACACACATACAATGGAGAGGCAGTGACACACATACAATGGAGCAGCAGCAACACACATACAATAAGGCGGTAGTGACACATGTATAATTGAACATATCATAAAAATTATCATTACCAAGATAATTTTATGTATTTCAAGTTAATTTCTCTCTCCTGTAAAAAGTCTAAATTTAATTTCTTTCCTAAAGATGACAATTTGCATTATATCCGGTTATATCCGGCACAGGGTCAAAGTTGGATTATGGGTGTAGGTAAACACACATCTCTCCAGGCTGGATGACAATGCCACCAGTTCCAGGCCTGCCAGGGTCACTAAATGTCAGCCATGTTGTCAGATCCCAATACCTCACTAGTCAACCTGTCCTGACCCTGGATCTACTCTCATGCCCCTCACATCAGCCCTCTTTGCCTGATACTGATTTCGATTGCCAATATGTGACTAGGCTAACATCTAGTCTCTGAAATGAACATATTGTACAGAAAAAAAACCCAGTTGTTCAGTTACCTTAATAAAAATATAATAAAAGGGAGCCCAGTGACTCTCTTCATTTTCAGATACTGCAGTAATCTAGACTTGCCAAACATTATAGACTTGCATGGGCTGTATTTGATATATATTTGTATCAGGGTCTGTAAGACAGATGGAGAATTTTTATATTGTAAAGTGACACACATGAAAGTATTTTATCAAAAGAAATATCAAGATACAACCAATAATCATAAACTACTTGGCAAAAATCGGTCTATTTTGAATGTCTTTTTTACTTAAAGTAGTGATAATGTGATTTATACATAAGTGTTTTACTATATTCACTGAGAAATGAGGATTTTGGTGGATCTTGTCTGGGTGACATAACCTCAGACTTTAGGATTTTATTTTACGGAAGAAAAAATGACTGATATACCCTGTCCAAATGCAAGATTTTCCAGTTTAGCTGCTTCAGCACAAATAGATATTGTGTAACATGGGCCATCTCTAACGACATTCCTTCCATTGCTGTAACTTAGTAAGATGTTTTTTCTCATGGAGGTCAGCAAGGTGCGGCTCCTCAATGTAACTTAAACCAAGGGTACAATGGCAGTGCCAATCACTGCTGGAGAAGATCCCAGCTATACAACACTAATTTGCAGGGGCCAAACAGCTCACATCTCCTGTCACAATTAACAAAAGATTCAACCAAGAAGAAGAACTTGATACAAAAGCTTAGGGATAGATTTTCCTAGTGATTACATGGAGCAGGAGAGCTCCAGAGGCCAATCACATGGCTGGTGAAAAATTACAATATCACTGAACTCATGCTTTTAGACGGACATAGTCTATTAGATCCTAATGTGGAGTGTTCAGGACAAATGAAAATACAATCAGTGTTGTGATACCATGGCAATTGGTATGAGCAATGTGTAAAAATGAAATGAATGTACCGACACGCGATACTGCCAGCAGCTTTGTAGTCAGGGAATTCCAGATTTTCTCATGAAATATTGATATACAATAACACAATTGATAGGGAATATGTGTCTAATGGCCATTACAGACCGGACAAATGGGAAAGTGGTACTGTCAATTGGAAATAAAATAAATGAAAAGGTTAAATCAAATGAATTTGCTGATTAAAAGGGAAAAGGTGGTGGGTGTGGTTCTTCAACATTTTCTTTCTATAAAATACATAAATCAATGTACTCGTAGTGAATACAGTACATATATATACATATGAATGAGAAGATGGCAATCCCCAACAAAAAATGTTAGAAGAATATGAGAGAAGAATTGGATATACAGATACAGAACAGGTGGCTATTAGCATTCTGAACTGGGGACACATCATCAACTAGGGCATCTGCATTCAGTTCTCCAATAATTCCTTATTCATGGCATAGAAAAGCTGGGTATTTATGAGAACTGTAATTCAATCTGGCGGCAACGTTGATGTACCTGGATCTATAAACAGAGCACTAACCAAATTTTCTATGTGTCATTTTGTTGGCATTGAGAAAATGAAATCAGATTTGAGGCCTGATGCAAGAAGATCTGTTGGAGTATGGGACAAACCACACGATGTCACTTGTTCTCGCTTCATTTCTCTTGATTACAATGGCTACCTGATGCATGCAATGTGATCAAACAGGTCAATTCTTAATGAAATGGGATCGCTATCGAACCCCAGAAAAACTTCATCGTGAAAAAGTAATTTCATCTCACCCCGAAAAATGGCATCATCTTAGAATGACTCATACTGGAATCTTGATATAGCTTTTGTGATGTGTCTCCATCACTGTGACAGTGTTGTGATTGTACAGGATGAAAGGCTAACAAGCGGGGTTTTCCCTGCTCTCTCCTTGTCCTTTCTAAAATTTATCCGGTTCCTTATCAACTTCAGTCAATAAAGCTAGAAGTACACCCAGATTAAACTACCCACAATATTGCCATGAATACTATGAGATTTGCAAGTACTAGTAGCATACATATTATTAATTCATCATCATATTAGAAATGAGTGATTGTTTGCAGTATCCAGCATCTTTTCAGACCTCAATGTCTGTCTGCAGTAATTCAGTAGGCATTTCTCCCATCACATGATGAAGACTGTTTGTCTACAATATATCAGTAGCCATAGACTACATCAGAAGTGACAAATATTTATCCCAAATAAACCGAAAGCACGTAATATAGAGTACAGCACTCTCTATTGCTCCATGAATTTACTGCAACTGTTTGAATAAACACACAGCTGAAGACATGTATCACAAGCCATCAGTTCCCAGTGAAGTCAATACATCGAGCATAATACCACGATACGATATGATGCATGAAGTTTGCCAAGAGAGAATGACCCTACTGCCCACTCCTCATGTTCCTCAACTCATGTTTCTGTGCCAGACAAGTCAATGAAATGCTTCCCAATTGATTTATCAATTCTTTCAATATGACTTTCTTCACAGAAAAAACATCTTTGAATAAAAATATGTAGCTAAGGAGTGTCACCAAAACATTTCTTCCTAAAGCAGCTGAGGAAGCAGTTCTAGATGATGCAAAGTGTGGACAAGTTTAACTGGAAAATTAGTAGAATAGGAAAAGTGTAAAGGTTATGTGCACCAACAACACCATGATCAAAGCTCTTTTCACAGAATGTTGTCCATTTATCAAATGTTTTATGACCTAGTGAAAGACAATTTTACTATGTACACCATCCACTGAGCATGCTGAGGAACATTTCTTTATGGTAAATATGTTAAAGGATAGGTTGGTTTCATTAAATGACAGTTTGTTTTGTTCACTATGTTCACTGCTTACTCTTTGAATCAAACAAATCATTCTTTAATTGTGTATACATATACTGTAGTGCAACACCAAACGGAGAATATGGCATATAAATGTACAAGAAGATACCATTTCAACATCAAGGAAATCAATGATATTCAGCAAACACCTAAAAGATCCTGCCTTTGAAGGAAAGCTGAACTTCACTGAGCAGCTCAATATTGTCAAACAAACCACAACTGTTACTGCTAGCTAGGCCAAAACCCTTCTAAACTGTCCTTGTAGTGATCCCTATCTCTATACCATGTTCAACAGCTCCACAGATATATTTCCTCTGCCTTCACATTCCAACTTAAACACCAAGCTCCCAGTGTTTTCCACATAAGGCAGGATGTTTTGACGGGAGACTGAACATTAAACTACAGTTAAAATCACATTGTGTGCAGCTAAAACTGAAAAAAAAATATGGTGAAAACTTGCGTCCTGCTTGGAAAATGTAGAGCTGACTAAGGAATAAGCATGTAGTGGGTGACGTTGTACTGTACATCTGCTATAGACATGAACACAACCCAGTCTCATCTTCCACTCCAGGCTTCTTCTATTGAAAGGCAACTTGATCAGTAGGGACTCAAAGCTGATGAAGCAGCTAATTGGTGAATGTTCTACATCATAATCACCCTCTCAAAACCAGATCCCTTCATACTGCCCGCCTCTTAGCTATCTCCACTGGGAGCTTCTACAAACATCTTAAACAGGCATGTGTGCAATGCGTTTCAGCAGCTGAAACTTTAGATTTAGCATTATGGCTTGTATTTACAACAATGCTGTATTATTCCTTCAGATTGACAAGATTGAAAAGGTCATAGGAGCAAAAGCTGAAAACATGTATTAATTGGTGTTACAAACAATTAAAACTTCTATAATAGTTAAACCAAGAAGTTGTGTGCAACTATTACAGACTGAGTGAGTGTGTTGGGTTTAACGCTGCTTTTAACAGTATTCCAGTCATATCACGGCATGTCAGTTTAATGTAGGGGGAAAGCCCGAAGTGATGTAGGTCTCAGACATTTTAATGAAACCCACGAGCACAGGTATGGTGCTGACAAACCTAGAAACATAATCGGGGCAAACTGGGATTCAAACCTAGGTTTCTGGCGTGCCCAAGAGACGCAACTCTGCACAGCGAATCGCGGCGCATTAGACGACTGGGCCACCCGTGCCCCTCCCCAACTCTTAGGATATAA